AATAACTGTCATATTTGATTGGATCTGAGTTAAATAGGGTTCACAAACAGATAAATCAAAATTATTGTCACTGATCATGGACTTTACCTACTGGATGATGCTTCTATCGGGTGGATCGTTCATTGCCATGTAGCAAAAGTTCGACTCAGCATCGCCATCGTCTTCTTCTGAACCTGGAGACCAGCAGCCTTCATCACACTCGATCGACTGTCTTGCCATAAGACACATGTTCCTTCCAGATATCACTTCATCCTCATCTCCAGAAGACCAGTACCCATCAACATTTTTTGACACCAAGTCTTTCACTTTCTGCGAACTCTTAGGCTCTGCGAGCACAGTAGGCAGAATCCTTTACCTTCGGTTTTTGAGAAGCTTCAGCCAAACAGTCTTTTGCAAAGTGGTTACCGAGACCACATTTATCACAAACTATCTTGGGCTTGACTGATTTCGGAATTTCCTGGGACTTCGAGGAGTGGTTTGGGATGTTGGGTCGGTATACAGGTGGGTTTTATGAAGGTTTGGGAAATGGTTGAAGATTGCTTTGATGAGGGGCTTAACATCGATTTTGATAAGATTTCTGACTGGGATTCCAATGGCATTTGTACTTCATAGACAGTAGTGCGAATTATTATTGGAAACGAAGTTCGGACTCAGCTGGATCGAGATCAAGATTTTCTTCAAATGAATGGTTCGGAACAGGTGGAGTAGGTGGGGTAGGAATTATTGGTTAAGTTGATGAAACATGTGGGATAGTTCCAAAAGGATCTGACACACATGGGTTCGGAATTAGTGGGTTAACACAACTAACTAAGGCAAGAGGACCTCCTGACAGTTCTCTTAACGTTTGAGCAACATTAGATTCATGGCCTTGCAGTTCGTCAAATAGCTAATAGAGCTTCAGTTTCTTCAGATATCCATTACTGTGAAGACATGACTTGACGTTCCTCCATCCTTTTTTGAGGCTGTTGATGAACTTCAGGTTGTACTCGAGAGGAGTTCTAACTATACCATGGGCAGTCATGTTGCTCACAACGGTCCTGTATCGATTCGAAGTCGAGGCTACGGATTCACGAGGAGTTGTGGTGAAGGTATCAAAGTCGTTGACAATATAAGTCAAAACCTTATCCTTCATGTTCTCAGACCCTTCAAACAAGTCTTGAAGAGTGTCCCAAATCTCTTTGGCAGATTTGCACAACTTAATGTGCTCAAAGAGAGAAGGAGCAACACCACACACCATCTCTAAGAATGCAATTTGGTCTGCATGAAGCTTTTCGATGTCTGAAGCAGTAAGAGGTGTTGGACGTTGTTCTTCTTGACCCATGAGAGTAGCAACATCATCTCTGACCATTTGTCTTACTAGAACATGAGGACCTTCTTTCACAGATCTCCATATCTCTTCACCTTTTTCCTTCCCAAGTAAAAAATCTCTCCATTCTAACATTCCAGTGATCATACTCTTCAACAACTAGCAATGGGGCACACGTTTGGCAACCCATGCTATTTTTTATTTGCATTGAATACATTTGTTGAGTTTGATTAGGAGCAGCCATTGAAGTAAAAGTAATAGAGCAGAAGCGGTATATAGAAGAACTTTTATCCTGAACACAAAAATGATTGAGATACCAAGGTAATCTCAAATCAATTATAATATGCTCTTATGGATTCAAAGGACAACCACTTAGGCTCTGATACTAATTGAAAGTGCAAGACTTGGTGTGCGGACAAGGTTTGAAAACTCAAACCTTGAATTAACTTAAGATCGATGTTTGCTGATGGTAAACTGGTCTTGTCTTGAAGTATGAAGATCAACAAAATATTTAAGTAAGATAAAATGAGTATGAACAAATTAAAGATAACTTAAGAACAATAAGAATGATGGAGAGAGAGATTTGACTTGCAATATATTTAGTATTTGATGTGAAGGAGAATATTGCTTCAAAAGGGTTACAATGCATGGAAAACTCATATCCTTAAATAGAAAGCAGAGATAACAAGACAAAATACAAGACTTGCATGGAGAATATAAATCTAATAAGTCAAAAAAGATGACACACAGGATTTACTCGATTTTGTCCCATGAACTTATAATCAAACAAGTACTAAACGACAAGAAGCATTAACTGCTTGTACGGAGTCAATAACATTGAAAACTAGGAACGTCTCGGATAAGTCTTCATCTCGGAAGAAGCTTGACTTCGGAACCCTTCACATCTCAGAATGCACTTCGACTTTGGTTCTGGTTTGGCTTCAGATTGCTAGAGGTTCACTTTTATGTATCAACAGTTTGTCCCCTGCATGCGTACGCCCCACGGACTACAAGTTTTCCGGAAATGGTAAAACTGCCCCCTATGGACCAAATCTGCAAAGGATTTACATACCAAGGGTCAAAAATGAAAATACCTTGAATCGGGTGTTACAATTTAGGCAGCACCTGTTGGATTTTATTCAAAATCGGTTTTCTAAAAACGCTAAAAATGACAACGAAATCTTTAAAATTGGAATAAACTTAAAAATCTTTTTAACCCACTAAGGATCATTTTACAATCAAGGAAAGATTAAAAGAACCATAGAAAGGAAAATATTATAACTTTTGAAGTCTTTGATTCTCATGGGAGATGAATGTTTATGAAGTGATGCAATAAGCACCAAAGAAGAAGTTCTCTACAAGTATCCACCAAGAAAGAAAGTACCATTAAAAATGCTAGTGTTCATTTGTATATATGTTGTTCTTAAGCTTTAAGAGTTCATGCCAAATGAACCTTAAAGATAGGCAACATATAAGCTCTTAATCCAAGCACCAAATGCAAGAAGAAGAGATGGACAAAAGGATCTCCAAAACTCGAAAGGGATAGCCCTTATAATGAGAGAATATGAGCCAAAAAATCAACCTTTTTCACTAGGAAAACCTCCTTTTTATATACCCACTAATGTGTACTAAGGTCAAGCCAAGTTAGTGGAAGAGTATGGTCTTTATTTTGACAAGTATGGAGTGGATAACACAAGGCAACAAGCAGACTCTTTCTTGTCTTCCATACCTACCACATTCTCTAAGAAAGTCAAGGTGATGGAGTGTGTTCCACTTAAACTAATAACTAGTAGTTAGATTCCACCTAGAAGACTTACTCTAAGTGCCTAAAAATGTTGTATATAACTTTAATATTCATACCATATGATATTCACTAGTTTTGTTCTCATTATTATTATTATTTCCTAGAAACAATAATTCTCAATATGTTTCAAAAATATTATTTTCATAAAATAATGTTTTTCCAGTTAAATACAAGTGTTGATATCTATTAAAAATCAAAATTACTCTAATAAATAATCAATTAGTAGTAACTTGCTATAAGGTATGACCCTATAGGATCATATGTCATTAGAAAATATCATTCTATAATGACTCTTGGGCATAAATATCTTTTAATCTCCCACTTGCACAAGACTCATCAGAGATTGATATAGACAGTGGTGAACGTCTAACAACATTTCATTGTCCCTAATAACATACGACAGAGAATTTCATTCATCAACATCCGGTTCCCAAAAGCTCAAAGCTATAATTGATGTTTAAGGTAAGTTTATCACTTATCCCTTTGTTACAAACATCTTGTCGAACATGATACTTGGATCGCAATCAATCCCATTTGATGTCAACTTTGGGTAACACACATTAGATGTCTAACTCTCAACACATAAGAGGAACAAATCACATCTTGACTACATAAGTCTATTGCATAGTTCACACCACACCCGATAATGGCTTTTATAACTGCCCGATTAAGAACTAACGTTTGACCACAACAAAGCATAACACTCCCTCCACTTAAGTCCCACTATGTATCTCAAGTATTAAGGATACAAAGATATTACTTTTTTTATTAAGTATCACTCACAAGTAACTCGTCAAACATCAGACGGAGGAGGAGTAACTACATTCTTGCATAACAAGTGATAGCATAATAATGGGTGACATTCTACACCCATCAACATATCCACCCACGCACCAAAACAAGACGCCCTGAAGAGCGCTGGCCGTTTTGGGGCGGGATGTAAATTAGCTATTATTTTCCTGCACAGTTTAGGTTTGCAGGTTGTAGTTACAACCGTTTCTGATGTATCGTCATGCTACAATATTTTTTACAAAAAATTAGCTTACTGTTCAGTGTTCCATATTGCATTCCAGACTACTCTTCATATTTCAGACATGTTCTACGTATTCTAGACTATATCTTTGCATTTCGGAGTGTTACAGAACTATCCTTTTAAGGTTTTTTTATTTGTCCTTGTTGTTACTATTATTAATAGTAATCATACAAAAAGCCTAAGTACCACACAATCGATTCAAAACATATTGTTCTCTATATTCTGAACTATATCTATGCATTTCAGAATACATCTATGCATTCCGAAGTGTTACAAAACAATTTTTTAGGTTTTCAATTGTCCTAGTTGTTGCGAATACTAATATTAATCATACAAAAAGCCTAACAACCACCAAAATGGAGCCGACATGAATTATTTCGTATTAAAAACTACTAATAACACATCAACTTTTTTTAAAACATAAAATCACATAATAAGCTACAAAAGAAGCAACATGTACCCACAAATACTCGAACTCTTCATTGCCAAATGACATAATTCAATTTGAAAGTATTTTGAAACGTGATCTATTGCAACTCCAAATTGCCGATTGGAAAAAAAAAGTCTGAAATAAGTGTGCTGGAGTGATTGTCCGAAAAAATATATATAGAGGCATCACAATAACGGATATGAATCTTGTAAGTTGGTGATCCGTTTAAACAACCGGGTCCAGAATGCATCCATTCGGGACTAAGTTGTCAATTTTTTCAAAATTTATATAAACTTGATTACTTAAAAAAAACTCAAAAAAATTGGTTAGACTACTTAGTTTAGCTAAATATAAATTCAATAGAGGAAGTGATTTTAATAGAACCCATAAATAGGGATAAGCAAGGGCATTTTGGTGATTAAGAAAAGAAAGCTGTGTTTTGTGGATTACAAAGGGGCAAATTGGGAATGTCAATATCAGATAGACATTTTCCCCAAACCCGCTTTTTCATCCCCGCGTTTCTCTCTCATAAACCCACAACCATAATCTTCTGAAACAAATCTCTGTGTTTCTCTCCCTCTTTCTCTTAGGGTTTTCAGAATTTGATTTCCTACTAAGTTCATGAAATCTGGATTTTAATTTCCTCAATATTGTTTTAGTTTCTTCTAGATCTGGTTGCACGTTCTTCAATGTCTTCGCTGTAAGTTATCAACGCTTCTGTTTTTAATTTCTTTACGAGACCACATGTTTTCATTTGTCTGTATCTGCATTTTGCAGGCTCGATGTTTTTTATAAACTAATGTTTATCTCAAGTCGTTTACTTGTATCATCTTTGGTTTTACCTTCCGAAGATGGTAATTTGAAATCGTGTACAGTGAATATCTACATTACAATTTGGGACTAGTTTTTTGAACCAGTTATGTAAAAATTTAGATTATATGAAGTTAAGCGTTGTTTACTTTAGATGAACAAAATTCTCAGATCAGCTAATTGAGTTTGTGCTTGATTTCTCGATTCTGATGTGCTTTTGAAATTGAAACAGGTCGTCTTACAACAAATCATTATGAGAATCCGTAGTGTAAAATGAGCGAAAAGGAGACTATGACGATGAAAACAAAGCCGCCTCTTGTACCACTTGGAACACTGATTGGTCGTGAGCTTAGGCATGGGAATGTGGAGAAACCTACAGTTAATTATGGACAGGCGGCATTAGCAAAGAAAGGGGAGGATTATTTCTTAATCAAACTTGATTGTCAGAGAATTCCCGGCAATCCATCAACATCTTTCTCAGTTTTTGCGGTATATATAGAATCCATTTCACCATTCTTCACAAACCCTTATGATTTCGCTACTAACATTATTATTGAAATTTGTTTTTTTTGGTAGATATTCGATGGGCATAATGGTATATCCGCTGCTATTTTTGCAAAGGAAAATCTGTTGAACAACATTTTAAGTGCGATTCCTCAAGGATGTGGTCGTGAAGAGTGGCTTCAAGCACTTCCTAGGGCATTGGTTGCAGGATTTGTGAAAACTGACATAGAGTTTCAACAGAAAGGTAATGGATTTCCATATCATCTCCATCAGTCATTTATCTTTCTTCTTCTTGTATCCTCAATCAACCTTCTTTGATGAAACAATAGGCGAGACATCTGGTACAACTGTGACATTTGTTGTAATAGATGGGTGGACTATAACTGTTGCTTCAGTTGGGGATTCAAGATGCATATTGGATACACAAGCTGGTGTTGTTTCACTACTAACAGTCGATCATAGGCTTGAAGAGAATGTTGAAGAAAGAGAGCGTGTAACAGCAAGTGGGGGTGAAGTAGGACGCCTCAATATTTTCGGAGGAAACGAGGTATAAATAAAAATCAAATTCAAGTTTTATACTTTTAAATAAATAAATATAAAAAAAAAAACCCGGAAATCATATGTTCTTGTGAATCTGTTATGTTATAGGTTGGCCCACTTCGATGTTGGCCTGGTGGGTTGTGCCTTTCAAGGTCAATTGGTGATACAGATGTTGGAGAGTTTATTGTCCCAATACCTCATGTTAAACAAGTGAAGGTATGACACAGGACACATGGCTTTGTATATTATATATGTTAAAAACTTAAAATTTGATTAAAGTTGACACATTTTTATTTATTTATATAGCTCTCAAGTTCTGGTGGAAGACTTATAATTGCTTCTGATGGTATCTGGGATGCTTTATCATCTGATACAGCAGCTCAATCTTGTCGTGGATTGCCTGCAGAACTTGCTGCAAAGCTTGTTGTTAAGGTGGTGATTGATGTTACATATAGATATATTTTTATATACATATTGTATAAAATTTTAATCTTTTGATTTGGTTATAGGAGGCTCTTAGGTCAAGGGGACTAAAAGATGACACAACCTGCTTGGTTGTTGATATAATTCCATATGGGTATCCAGTGTTGCCTCCAACACCTAGAAAGAAACAAAATCTGCTTACTTCATTAATTCCTGGAAAGAGATTTCAAAACTCTATGAATAAAGTTCCAAATAAGCTTTCAGCAGTTGGAACTGTAGAGGAGCTGTTTGAAGAGGGTTCTGCAATGCTTGCAGAAAGGTATGTTTTTTTTTTTTATCAATTTCCTCCATCTTTCACTTTAGTTGTTTTCTTGAAACCTTCTAAATTTTAGGCTTTTAAGTTGCGCATATAATAGAGTTTTTTATTCCACGAGCTGTTGATAATGTATAAAAGTTTGTTATTTGTTGTTGCAGGTTGGGAAAGGATCTGCCATTAGATTCAAGCACAGGAATGTTTAGATGTGCGGTTTGTCAAGCAGAACAGGAGGAGCAAAGTGGATCTGGACCACTCATGTTATGTTCAAAGTGTAGGAGAAAGAAAGATGCAATGGAAGGGAAAAGGGCAAGCAGCCTACACACAATCACAATATAAGTAAAACTAAACCTAAAAGTAAATACTAATTAATTAAAATACATTCTTTCTCAATTCTCATTGGCAGTTGTGTGAGCATATGATGATGATCTGTTTTTCTTTTTGTTGTCATTGTGATGGTTTACGGAGCATGTATGTGTGTGTGTGTTTGTTATATTTTGTGCTCTCGGCTATTGGACTCGCTAATTAAGAACAATTATATATATATATATAGTAGTGTGATAGGTTTTGATTGTGAAAGTAAAAATGTTGATTAATGTCTTTGTATTGTTGTCAATCTGATAAGATCTCTGTTTTATTTTTTTGTTTAAGCTCTATTTATTAGTATACTCAATTTTTCTTGTTTGTTGTATTGGTATTTGTTTGATTAATTTTTCTTGTTTGATTAACGTCGAAGTTTCTGGCAACATAGGATTTTGCCAATTATTCTTACAGCTTAAGTTGTATGTTTGCCATATGAAACCCTATTTTCCAGTTTTTAAGATCAAAAATTGCAAAATAATTGTTAAACTATGAATCAAAAAACTAAAAAAAATATATTAAACTCGCTAGCTGCTGATCTACCAAAGCCAGATATAAACTCCTCTAATGCTTCAATCATATTTATAGAAAATTACAACAATGTATGTGCTTTGATGATCAATGTATAAACTGCACTTTCCATTAACAACAAAGTCCGATAAAAACTCAACCATGGTCTTTAAAACAAACAAAATCCATGTAATGTCTGTTTTGTTTTTGTCATGGCCTGAGAGGCTTCAAACCAAGTGAAGCCCGAATCCTATTAGCTTCTGCAATCTCAGGATCCGGATGATCTGTTCCATCATCTTTCTTCTTCTCCTTCTCCTTCTCTTTCTTCTTCTTGGCTGGTTTCTCATCATCTTGCATCCTTCTAGGGCTACCACTGCTGTCCCTATCCCGCCCATGTCTCCTCCGCCTCTCCTCCCCGTCATCCCGACCCCGCTCCTTTCTGTCCTTGCTCCGGCTTCTACTCCGGGAGCGGCTCCTCCTTCTGCCGCCACGTCTCTCCCTCCCGTAATCCCTTTCATCTCTCCCACGATAACGGTCCCTGTCTCTGTCTCTGTCTCTGTCCCTATCACGACCTCTTCCACGCTCCCGCTCATAATCATAATCTCTCTCATACTCTCTATCAACATCTCGATCCCTGAAACCAAAAAACAAAATACTATATTATAACTTTTTCTTACTTAAGAAAATCTATCAGTGGAAATTGCTTATAAAAGTAGATTTTTCAAATTGCAATGTAGAATGCTATAATAAACAAATAAACAAGAATGTGCAATCCATCATACTTCTCATCTGTACACTGTCAGTACAGAGAAACCTGGCAGGATCATAATCTCTTGATTTAGGAAGCTATTTGTTTACATCGCCTTCAGCCTATGAAAGCTCAAGACAATGATAATTGATAACCCAGTGTGACGTGGGTCCACCCAAGGGCAGCAAATTGAAAACAGCTTCCACAATTAAATTTTTCATGATGATAAAATTACTACAAAGATCAATAAATATATCTTTGATAAAAAAAAATCAAATTAATGAAGGCATAGAATGGATAACAAAGAACCAAGTAATAGTAATACTGTAATACCTATGTCTATGGCTGTCACGTTTCCTATCTCGCTCTCTTTCCTTTGTTGGGCTTTGTCCGCGATAATAATCCTACATTCACAAAAAATTAGTTATAAAATATAATAGCATGTGATTAAATTATGTATAGAAGTTGTTATTCAGATAGATTTAAACCTTTTCGTGACCCACAACATCTGTATCCATGGGTTGCTCATCCTCGTCTTTTTCCTCTTCCTCCTCAAAATCATCTTCAAGTGCACTTTTTCTAGGTTCTAAAGCGCCAATTGCTTCAATGGTAAGCCTGTTAATGACCAAAATCACTCTTAATTTCATAATTTTTTTCTCATATGACATCCATGAGAATGCGGATCAATTTAAACTGGATAATGTTGGAAGAGGAAATGAAAAAGGAAAGATGAACAATAGTGTATTGATGTACCTTTTCTTTATGCGTGGAAGAGCAATATCACAGGAATAATCTTTTGTCAAGAGTTCATCAATAACCTCATCCACATGTGTCAAGGAATATTCTGGTAAATCAAAGAAATATATAGCAAGATACATCAGTATACCAAGAAATAGCAAAACGAAGTTCAGAATAATTCTAGCACAAAAGGCTTACTTCCATCGCCTAATTTGCGTCTCAGTTTCCTGTAATCATTGTACAAAGGCTCTAGATACCGGTAGACATCAATATCTGTGCCTGTAAGTCGCAAGTAAAAGGCTCCAAGGATTCGTACATATCTGCTCAACAAACGATAATGTTCGGGAAAACGGAGTACAAAATGGAAGTGTAGAGATGCGAGCAATTTCATAATTAAAAAAAAATCTATTAAAAAGCAAAGAGGAATGAACATGACTGACTTGTAATCTTCGTTTTTGATGAATTCGACGACGATTTCTTTATCAGGCTGGATCTGGAGCATCTTCATGACGAGGCAGATGAACGGCGTCGGTTTGCGGTTTCCGCCGTGGGTGCCGCCGAGGTGATCCAACTCCATGGCCTTGTCCACAAGCGTCTCAGCTGTCAAACCGAAACACTGTTCCTTCCAATAGGTGTTTTGGTAAATTTTGGATCTCAATATCTTCTCAACGAGGTTTTGGGGGTTCGTTCCATGTATGCTTTTCGCAGATGGATCCGTACGATTCGCCATTGATGATTATAGCTCCCGATTGATGGTAAGCTTAGCGGAGCAATTTAATTCTCCAAAACCCTAGCATTTGAACCCTTTTAACTTTCCCCCTAACTGAAATGGCATACAATATTTATGCAATTTAATTTCAGTCCCTAATCTTTCATCTATTTCAAATACACTATCCAAAAAACAAGATGTATCAAGTTCTTAGTAATTGCAGATCAGTCCCTGACGTTCCATGTATTTCAAATTCACCCAACATGAATAAGTATTTTCATATAGAGGTGGCAATCGTGTCGGGTCGAAACACTAAACCGGTTGAAAGTGTTTGACCATAACCCGACCTGTTTAATTAACGTGTTGTGCCGTGTCAATTCATTTATTTTCATGTCGAGTCCGTGTTGGGTTTCATGTTAGGTGTATACCTTAAAATATGTCGTGTCATGTGGGGGTAAAAGATTGAGCATGTTGACAGAGTAGGAGTTGAGTATGTGAAAAGGAAAACTAATAGTTTAGAGGCGGAATAGATGAAATCATAGCAAGTTCAGATGGGAAAATTGAAAGAGTAGGAGCTAGGAAGGCGAAAAACAAGATCATAAGGATGAAAGAGTGGTCAAAGGGATTGTGTGGTTTGAGAGAGAACAGAAAAACTAAAAATGAAGTATTGAACTATTGATCTAGAATGCTAAATGATTTCAACATTACAAAACAACTTCATCCAAATATTTTCTTTTACTTATTGTTTTGGTTTTTGATATTTCTAGCTTATTTAAAGAATTCAAAAAACGTGTATATAAATAAATGAGTCATTTTCAAGTTGAAATTCTCAACCTTGAACTTACCCATTTAATTTTCGTGTCGTGTCGTGTCAATCCGTTTATTTAAATGAGTTGAAATATTTTACCCAAAGCCGTTTATTTCGTATTGGATTTCGTGTCGTGTCAATTTTTGTTACTTCTAATTTCATATTACTAAGGAAACATTTGGTTTTATCCCAAATCAGAACATACAGATCTAATTTAGTTTGATATGGAAAAAAAATTATCCCACTTGCTCATCCAAAGATTTTGATAGATTTTGAATAAAAAAAACATTTAAATACAAATATTTTAGATCATGTCAAGATGATTTAAATACCACATAACATTAAATTATTAGAAAAACTATTATTACATACTATAATCATAAAGACTTTCGGAAAAGATCAATTACAACTATATTTATCTTTATAAATTCTATATTTAAACAAAACAATTCGAAAAAGTATTCAAAAAATCACATATCTAATTTCGCAAGTTTTATTGCCGAAAACATCTCTTCGTTGTTTACTTATTTATTTTTTCAAATTGCCCTCTTGTCATGTAGATGCTTTAAGGGTGAGCATGGTGTAAGTTTAGGCCAAAACTGAACTGTAAGCCGCATGTTGTTTTTTGTAATCTTAAAATTGTGATGTGCGGCTTTTCAAGTGATGCAGTTTTGCGGTTGTTTTCCAGCAGTTTGCAGTTTCTGTTTTAAACCACATAAATAGGGTGCATCGCGTCTTACGAAGTTTCAATTTTTTTTAAATAGCAATGCATATAACTAAAACATATTGGCTCTGATACCACTAATATAATTTATTGCATTCTATACACACTAGTTTGCGTAGCGGGAAAAAAACCCTATGTGTACATACATCCTATGGATCTAGGTTTTACTATTATAGCAACATACTTTAAAAGTTGTAAAATTACTAACATCTTGTTCTTGATCTTCTTGGTTCCTTGCTTGAGATCTAATAATAGCCACTTTGTTTTGGATGATGAGGACCCAAACCAGGTATCCCTCTTTTGCTTTACATCCAAGACACCAAATAGCAAAAAGGAAAACCCTAAGATAGAGGAGGTTTTCAAAACTCACAATAACCCTTTGAGAGTTCTTATTTTCGTAAAAGGAGGTAGAAAAGGAAGCTTGGACGAAAATTAGAAGGTCAACGAGGACCAAGTTTTGATCTCTGGTATCTTATTTATAACCTCCAACTTTATCCTAAAGTCATTCAAAAACCTATTTTCGTCACTACCCTTATTATGGAGGATTCTTGAATATTCCAGTTAATTATTAATGAATTAACTAATATTTAACCCATTTAATTAAATAAAAACTATTTAACTAATTCTAAATTAATTTCCAATTAATTTATTAATCTGTAATGTCCCAAATTTTAGAACAAAATTTTCGTTTTTAATAATAATAAAAATTATCCCAATTTCATTCCAAGATAATTAGATAACCAAAATGCGAGTTTGAAATTCTGAAACCAAATATTAGAGTACTAAACATAAAAATCATTAAGTGAGAAAATCTTCAATGGATGCGATACAATCAAGTCGCACCCTTCCCTTTTCTCTCAAAACGACCTGAAACATTTTAAACTTGAAACTGTAAGCATAAAGCTTAGTAAGTTCCTCAAAATACCATATACAACAACGACCTGAAACATTTTAAACTTGAAACTGTAAGCATAAAGCATAGT